TCTTTCTTTCTTTCTTTCTTTCTTTCTTTCTTTCTTTCTAAACTCCAAGCTGTTCTTTCTTTCTTTCTTTCTTTCTTTCTTTCTTTCTTTCTTTCTAATGTGTTTGCTCTTCTTTCTTTCTTTCTTTCTTTCTTTCTTTCTTTCTTTCTTTCTTCAAATGTCATTTTTCTTTCTTTCTTTCTTTCTTTCTTTCTTTCTTTCTTTCTTTCTACATCCTTGGCTCTTCTTTCTTTCTTTCTTTCTTTCTTTCTTTCTTTCTTTCTTTCTTGTGGGAACTAAGTTCTTTCTTTCTTTCTTTCTTTCTTTCTTTCTTTCTTTCTTTCTATGTCACAAGAGCTTCTTTCTTTCTTTCTTTCTTTCTTTCTTTCTTTCTTTCTTTCTGGTGCCATGATAGTTCTTTCTTTCTTTCTTTCTTTCTTTCTTTCTTTCTTTCTTTCTTGATGGTTGTTGATTCTTTCTTTCTTTCTTTCTTTCTTTCTTTCTTTCTTTCTTTCTTAACACACAGACTTTCTTTCTTTCTTTCTTTCTTTCTTTCTTTCTTTCTTTCTTTCTGTCCTCCTGAACCTTCTTTCTTTCTTTCTTTCTTTCTTTCTTTCTTTCTTTCTTTCTCTTTTACACAAAATTCTTTCTTTCTTTCTTTCTTTCTTTCTTTCTTTCTTTCTTTCTCAACCAATACCTCTTCTTTCTTTCTTTCTTTCTTTCTTTCTTTCTTTCTTTCTTTCTTCTGTCTTGGTTATTCTTTCTTTCTTTCTTTCTTTCTTTCTTTCTTTCTTTCTTTCTTGCTATATACTGATTCTTTCTTTCTTTCTTTCTTTCTTTCTTTCTTTCTTTCTTTCTTTTTAGGGACAGGTTCTTTCTTTCTTTCTTTCTTTCTTTCTTTCTTTCTTTCTTTCTGCTCACTGCAGCCTTCTTTCTTTCTTTCTTTCTTTCTTTCTTTCTTTCTTTCTTTCTAGTATTGGAATTATTCTTTCTTTCTTTCTTTCTTTCTTTCTTTCTTTCTTTCTTTCTGTTGAAATCCTAATTCTTTCTTTCTTTCTTTCTTTCTTTCTTTCTTTCTTTCTTTCTTTATTCCCCCACCTTCTTTCTTTCTTTCTTTCTTTCTTTCTTTCTTTCTTTCTTTCTCATATCATCTAGATTCTTTCTTTCTTTCTTTCTTTCTTTCTTTCTTTCTTTCTTTCTAAATTGAATAGACTTCTTTCTTTCTTTCTTTCTTTCTTTCTTTCTTTCTTTCTTTCTCAAAATTAATATATTCTTTCTTTCTTTCTTTCTTTCTTTCTTTCTTTCTTTCTTTCTAAATCAATCATACTTCTTTCTTTCTTTCTTTCTTTCTTTCTTTCTTTCTTTCTTTCTAAGAATGAAAAATTTCTTTCTTTCTTTCTTTCTTTCTTTCTTTCTTTCTTTCTTTCTTGGGCAAAAGCAATTCTTTCTTTCTTTCTTTCTTTCTTTCTTTCTTTCTTTCTTTCTGCCAAGAGGAATTTTCTTTCTTTCTTTCTTTCTTTCTTTCTTTCTTTCTTTCTTTCTTAGAAAGTAATACTTCTTTCTTTCTTTCTTTCTTTCTTTCTTTCTTTCTTTCTTTCTGTGATCACTGAGATTCTTTCTTTCTTTCTTTCTTTCTTTCTTTCTTTCTTTCTTTCTCTGGATAAAGTTTTTCTTTCTTTCTTTCTTTCTTTCTTTCTTTCTTTCTTTCTTTCTATCTCCCTACATTTTCTTTCTTTCTTTCTTTCTTTCTTTCTTTCTTTCTTTCTTTCTTCATTGGGTGGGGTTCTTTCTTTCTTTCTTTCTTTCTTTCTTTCTTTCTTTCTTTCTTCCAGAGTGTATTTTCTTTCTTTCTTTCTTTCTTTCTTTCTTTCTTTCTTTCTTTCTAAATAACCCAGGTTTCTTTCTTTCTTTCTTTCTTTCTTTCTTTCTTTCTTTCTTTCTAATTGAACAGGGCTTCTTTCTTTCTTTCTTTCTTTCTTTCTTTCTTTCTTTCTTTCTCAGTACATGAGGCTTCTTTCTTTCTTTCTTTCTTTCTTTCTTTCTTTCTTTCTTTCTAATTAGCCCTAGATTCTTTCTTTCTTTCTTTCTTTCTTTCTTTCTTTCTTTCTTTCTTTGAAAGCACTAATTCTTTCTTTCTTTCTTTCTTTCTTTCTTTCTTTCTTTCTTTCTATTTAAAATACTATTCTTTCTTTCTTTCTTTCTTTCTTTCTTTCTTTCTTTCTTTCTATCCAATCAAAACTTCTTTCTTTCTTTCTTTCTTTCTTTCTTTCTTTCTTTCTTTCTTAAAAAAATCAAATTCTTTCTTTCTTTCTTTCTTTCTTTCTTTCTTTCTTTCTTTCTCATTAAAATAGTTTTCTTTCTTTCTTTCTTTCTTTCTTTCTTTCTTTCTTTCTTTCTACTCATGTTAAAGTTCTTTCTTTCTTTCTTTCTTTCTTTCTTTCTTTCTTTCTTTCTGATGAGAAAACAATTCTTTCTTTCTTTCTTTCTTTCTTTCTTTCTTTCTTTCTTTCTGACACTTTAGAAGTTCTTTCTTTCTTTCTTTCTTTCTTTCTTTCTTTCTTTCTTTCTCTTTAGATTGGGCTTCTTTCTTTCTTTCTTTCTTTCTTTCTTTCTTTCTTTCTTTCTGGGAAGTCCAAGATTCTTTCTTTCTTTCTTTCTTTCTTTCTTTCTTTCTTTCTTTCTCATAGATGGCAGCTTCTTTCTTTCTTTCTTTCTTTCTTTCTTTCTTTCTTTCTTTCTTGGGGCTTCTTTTTTCTTTCTTTCTTTCTTTCTTTCTTTCTTTCTTTCTTTCTTTCTTAATCACCTCTCATTCTTTCTTTCTTTCTTTCTTTCTTTCTTTCTTTCTTTCTTTCTCATATAAATTTTGTTCTTTCTTTCTTTCTTTCTTTCTTTCTTTCTTTCTTTCTTTCTATAGCAATAGACTTTCTTTCTTTCTTTCTTTCTTT